TCGGTCCTACACCGAAGATGGGGCAAAACGCAGCATTTTACGGCCCGTTATTGATAAGTAGCCTCGTTATAAGCTGTCTGCGAAGTGACTTACGCGTAACTGAACTGATGGTTCGTGCACGGTTCGACTCATTGGAGAGTGCTGGACTCTTTCTGCCATCATATCAGCGTAAAGGTGAGGAGCTCCTCCGTAGAGCCATATGGCTATTTCAATCAGTCGCCTTTCTCAGTTTAGACCTCATCTCATTATTCATAAGAAGCCCAGCTGCGCCGCCAGCCTCCCTAATGACCACCAACATCTGCATTTCTCAGCCTCCATTCTTGTCCAGTCGTTTCATATGAAATTGACAAAATGCCCTGAGAAGAAGCTCACTTTGCCTCGATGGCTTGATAGTGGTACGGACGAGTTTTCCGTTGGCATTCCAGAACGACTGGAGGAAAGTGCTGAGAGAGCTTTTTTGAGTATCGTTGAACATCGCGTAAACGACCGACCAAGTATTGTTTATTTAGCGCTAGCGTTCACGCTCTTCAACGAGGGGCTAATTCCCGATTGGCATGGGAATGAAAGCTTCCAATGAGATTCCTACTCTAGCACTCTAGTAACTCCATATATTGCCATAGGATAAACAAAACATCAAGTCAAAATAGGATTTCCATTGAACGAGTTTTTATTAGCAATATTGCTTCAGTACCAGCTCTTCTCAGGAAGGGCTCTATTTTTTCCCTAGAATAGGCAGTCTCCTATTTATCTTGTGGGAAACGGGGTTTATGGGAGGAGAGGGAAAGGGATTGAATGGATTATATTGTTCTTAGACTCGGTAACCATGGATAAGCAACTTTATAGCGGATCTTCCCAAAAGATTTAGCTCCACTTCCACTTTCTCCCATTTGCTCAAAAAAAGTCTCGCTGCTGTCAACCTTTGAACGTTACAATCAGTTTTTCGGCCGATAAACTCGCCTGCCGACTTGCCGCATATGGTTCTAACGATTGCAAGGTGATTGGAACAGAAGACGGAACCGAGCAGTCCGTGCTGCTCAAGTGGTTCAGTGGCAAAAAGCGCCACTTGTTCTAAGCTCATCCCTCGAATCGATACTGCTGACTGTACCGGTTGGGTGTATGACGTCCTTGGTGCTGAACTGGTATCATATTTGCTAGAGTACTGAAAAAACTGGGTCGGAAACGAAAGACGTTCTTCTCGTGGTCTTTTTGATTTTGCAAGTACTCGGCTGCAAATCGAGGTGGTACCGGTAAACTATGAACGTCGGCTGAGTCAGGAAGGTTCATCTGTGTTGTTGCACCTGGAGTTGTTCACTCGGAATGAGCACTGCCGATAAAAAAATCGGAACCAGCTCATGGGCTGTGCAGTGCGAAGGGTAAGCAGCTCCAGCCCAATACCACTGTTTACTTTGGTGCAACTATTCCGTTGGAAAAGCAGAACCACTCAGAAGAGTTTAACTCAGGAGACCGTCTGTCAAATACTGGATTTTACGTCCATCGATTGATGGATTGTGCCGGGACTTGAACTTAGATTGCGAGATTTTCACTGTATTGTACTCTCCTAGGTGATTTGTCGATGAATGAGTAATTAAATAAGTAATGCAATTATAAATTCTCACTTGTTCGATAACCTCGGCGAACAAAATAGAGTAGTAAACTAAGGGAAACTTCATTGACCTTTCTCAGGTGTCTTACTTCAAATCTGTCTTTCCCATCTTCCATCCTACAGGAGCTCCCATCAATCGATTGAGAGTCCTCTTGGAACCAGCCCCGATTACAAGTTTCTGGGTTGTACGGAATTATCTGCTGAAAAGTTCTGGAAGCTTCTATGGGGTTTTCATGTAAGGACACTAAGTACACCACCCATGCACATTCACATAACATATCCGGCTACCTCTAACCCACTTATTTACCCATATAACGATCTACTTGTCTGCCCACATTCCACATGTAGTTCTTTACGAGTTCAAGTCCAGCTACATCGCTGCTAAAGTCCATTGAATTTTGTGTCGAGCATTTGGTCTTGCAAAGCCTTTCAGGCGGTTCTGTGACACCTCGTTCCAATGCTTCACAGCCTGGAACAAAAAGGTCGAAGTAAATCTCGATCTGGTCAAACTACCTCCCAGACGAGTGTGGTACTATTCACCGACCCTGGAGGGATGGAAGGCTTGGTTGGCCTCCTCGATCCGGGATTCGAACCCCTAACCGTGCGTGTGATATAGTGCGCCATTTGCCACTACACCACATCGAACTTCCATGTTTGAGAAAATAATCTAACAAAAATTCAGAAGTGAAATGACTACGGTAAATTTACCTCAAGAAAGAAAAAGAAAACACCAAAGCTCATCACGGCCTGAATGTATTTTCAATCAACTTTCTTTCGTCCTCAGCCATTTCGTTCATGATGAATGCCGGAATTCAGTCAAAATTACTTTAGTCCCTCCCTCTTTACCCTGCATTTCTCTCTTATTGCTTTCCAAAGAGCTATGATTCCACTTTTTTCCTATATAGGAAG